TCACAACCCCAACACTTTGAATTTTCCATCCTTTTTGCAAAAAACCTTAATTAATTGAAAGATATTAATTGGTCAAGCGGACCACGAGAACTAGTGAATTTAATAAGTAATACAGATGTTTGTCGAAATGAAATGAAAAACGACTACTAAATAAATAGAAAGTAAACTACCAATAATGATAAATTAATGGATTACGAGTAAAATAGATTAAACTATTACCTAAACACGTCAACAGTTTGCGTTTAACGCTAAAAACAGGAGGCATTTATTTTCCCTAAATTGATTTTTCAAGAGGTAATCACATCACGTTTAAATTGTCAATAACAGCCCCGGTAGACATTACTGGCCAATAAAACCATTTGGGACATTTTTTCATCACTGCCAATTTTTGCAAGACCAGTAAGTGACTAGTGATTTTTCCTGAGGTTTTTTGGGCTGTAGCCGGTGGTCTGCTCACCCTCGCACGGTTCAAAGAAGTCCGACCGAGGTCATTATTAAGCCATTACCTCTTTTTTTTATATATATATATACGCTTATTACATACATTACCACGATGCAATTTAAAATATCAATTGTCATTACAATTCAAGTCGTCGTTTGAAGAAATAAGGTCAATCATAAAAAATGTACATAATTTGAATTTGAATTATATAAGTTATTCAAAGTTGAATAGTTAAAATAAATATCGAAAGAAAACATATCTTTTCAACTCGACTATTCCAGGAAATCCTACAGAAAGAAACCCGCATTAATTCTAATAGAATTGTATTGAATAAATTAATTGTAAATGTGTAATGCGAATTTGAATTACTTCATTTATTCAAAGGTCAAAAACATATATTAACTCGACTATTCAAGAAAATCCTACAAAAAAAAATTAATTCTAATAATATTGCTCTATTGTAAATGTATAATTTGAATTATTTCATTCATTCAAAGTTGAATAGTTCGAAACATTGGGGGAATAAAATACATTTTAAGTAGGCTTTTCAAGGAATTCCTACATAAAAAAGTATTTAACTAACAGAATTGTTGGACAGAATATATTCATAAAACCTATACACAATCTAATTAAAAAACTGTTCACAATTTAATTGAAGTCGTCGTATCAAAAAAAAAAGTTCCTTCTGAAAATTATTCTATCACCAACAACCAATAAAAATAATTATAAATTAATCTTTTTATGTAAAGTTTTGGTTCGAACCCTACTTGTGACACTAACTTTTTCATTTCAGCCAAAACCTTATATAACAAGATTAATTATTTGAAATAAGTAATTTGGTCAATCAGTCCACTAAATATAATGGATTTAATAATTATAAATGTTGATCATTTTTGTATATGGAATTCGAGGATCAAACAATTACCCTAAAGAGCAATTACTGTGTTAGAAATTTCAAATTCACTGTGCAAAAATAACTCATCAGAAAGATCAAAAATATTATTGACTACCAAATATATATTTTTTTTAATTAGGCCATTTCATTTATCCCTGGTATATTCACGTATCTTTCAAAGAACTATATTTCCTCTTCGTCATTTTTTCATCTTGAATTCAAAAGTTCCGATTCTATTCATGCCGTCAACTCCGAAAATGACAAGAGCCCGTTTGACGAAATTCAATGATCAAAAGCATCTATTGTCATTGTATTTCGACAATAAAATTCGGTAATTCAAGATTCTCCAGAAAATTTGGTTAATATAATTTTTTAACGAAGTTTCGCAACAGGAGAGGTCATATCAACCCTCGAGGTGTCGGAGTTTTTGAAAAAAAGCCCATTCGAACCCGAGACCTTTATCCTACATTGACGAGCGCCGTGTCAACGCCAAAACCGTCGCGGCCACCGACGCCCCTAATATAAAAATGATATTTTCAAACTGAGAGGGATTTCCCTTGGAAAGTAAAAAACAATAGCTAACTAGACGTACAATATATAGTATATGTTTACTTATGAATATTATTATTTACAATTTTTTATAAAAATGGTTTGGTATAATAATTTATTGGACAATCCTGCAGAAAAAGGGCATTTTATCTTACGGATATTGAAAACATTTATTGTAACTGTTCGATTTTTTCTTTATTGAAAGTTTAAAAAAATTAAAACATAATTTTTAAACTCAACTTTTCAAGGTAATCTAACAGAAAAAAGTATTTTATAATTGAATTGTTCATGGAATAAATTTATGAATTACTCAATTATTCCATACATGCAAAGATGAATAGTTCATAAAATAATGAAAAAAAAACATAAATGTTCAACTCTACATTTCAATGAGATCCTACAGAAGAAAGAAACATTAATAAATAACAATAATTGTAATTGTATAGAATAAATATTATATAACTAAATAATTCTAATTCTATCTATTTTATGTTTTGAAAATTCAAAAAATATTTTTTCTTCTCGAATCAAGAAAACCCTACAGAAAAACGTATTATTTCTAACATTATTGAATTTATAATTGGGAATAATGAATACATTGATCTGTATAATTCGAATTTCAATTCATACAGTATCAACAGATATCATTTTGAAAACGTTGAAAGGAAATCGTACAGAAAAACAAATCTAAGAATTCCGATAGAATTATATTGAATAAATCTTGGCTAAATGTAAAATTTATATTCCATCTATTTCATCTGTTCAAAGTTGTAATAGCTCATAATATATTAACAGGCCACATCATTTTAGAAAACTTTTGAAGGAAATCCTGCAGGAAAACAAATCTAACAATCCCAAAAGAATAATACTGAATAAATCTTTGCTAACTGTAAAATTTGTATTCAATCAGTTCCAAGTTGAATAGTTCATAAAATATTAACAGACCACATCATTTTAGAAATTTTTTGAATGAATCCTACAGAAAAATCAACTTATTAATTCCAATAGAATTATATTGAGTAAATCTTTGCTAACTGTAAAATTTGTATTCTATCTATTTCATGTCTTCAAAGTTCAATAGTTAATAAAACATTAACAGGCGACATCATTTTAGAAAACTTTTGAAGGAATACTACAGAAAAACAAATCTAACAATTCCAATAAAATTATATTGAATAAATCTTTGCTAACTGTAAAATTTGTACTTCATCATTTCATTTATACAAAGTTGAATAGTTCATAAAATATTAACAGGCGACATCATTTTAGAAAACTTTTGAAGGAAATCTTTCGGAAAGACAAATCTAACAATCCTTTTTTTTTTAAATTGTTTTAAATTTAAGAAAGAACACCGTACTCACTCCATCATTCACCATTTCTACAAATCTAATAATTCCAACATTAACAGACCATATCATTTTAGCAAACGTTTGAAGGAAATCCCACAGAAAAACAAATTTATTAATTCCAATAGAATTGTACTGAATAGTTTGCTGTTTGTAAAATTTATGTTCCATTTATTTCATTTGTTCAAAGTTGAATAGTTCATAAAATATTAACAGACATCATTTTAGAAAACTTTTGAAGGAATCCTACAGAAAAACAAATCTAACAATTCCAAAAGAATTATATTGAAAAAATCTTTGCTAACTGTACAATTTGTAATTCCATCTGTTCAAAGTTGAATAGGTCATAAAATATTAACAGACATCATTTTAGAAAACTTTTGCAGGAATCCTACAGAAAAAGAAATCTAGCCATTCCAATACAATTATATTGAGAAAATCTTTGCTAACAGAACAATTTGTATTCCATGTATTTCATTTGTTCAAAGTTGGAATAGTTCATAAAATATTAACAGACGTTATTTTGGACAACTTTTGAAAGAAGCCTACAGAAAAACAAACCTATTAATTCCAATAGAATTATATCTAATTTTATAACTATAAAATTTGAATTCTATATATTTAATTTATTTAAAGTTAAATAGTTCATAAAGTGCCGATGAAAACGTTATGTTTCACCTTGACTACTCAAGGTAGTTCTATAAAGGAAAAAATGTATCAACAACTGGTATTGCACAAAGTCAATTATTATAATTTTTATTAGTTTGGCAGCCAATACCTGTTACGTATATTTTTGTAGTTAGAAAGAAAATCTTTGTCTACTAAAAACATAAAAATTTCATAATTATAAGTCCGAGGACTTCCACAAAACAAATTCCTATTGTATTACTGTTTTTGTGCTGAATTTGCATTTTTTATTGAAAAGTTTTTCAACCCATTAATTTAAGGTAATTCTGGAGGCAAATTTATTGTATGTAATCATTATTGTACAACTGGATAACAATTATTTCTAAGTAATTTGTTTTTAGCAGTAACAGTTATGTACATAATCTAGAAACATTTCTCGATAGCAGTATCAGATCTGGTCAAGAAATTCAACAAATTTACTTTACAAATTGAATTTATCTGTGAGTGTAAATGATTTTTGTTGTATAACTGAAAGGTCTGGCTGGTTTTTAAGGTTTTTGTCCACTACCTGGACGAATTTTGAAAAAGTTCGAAACTGTAACATCGTGTTTTGTACGATAGGCGGACTGTACAATAAATCTAAACGCCGAAAAATGGTAAAAACGTCAAGAAAAGATAAAAAAAAAATAGTCAAGGTTAATAACACAATAACTAACTGGTTTAATAATTCTATAACCCATATTTAAACAGGGCTGGTCGGTTTTTGGATGACAAAATCAAAAGTGGGCGGGTTATTTTATTTTTTTTAAAATGTTGATTTTATTAAACGGTTGTGCGAAAGGCTGAGAAAACTGGGTTAGGTTTGAAATTTGCAGACGTGTTTTACAGGATATTTAAGTCTGTTGGAAGGATTTTTTTTTTACTTCTACTACAGAATCCAGGCTGAATAGGCGGCGTTAACTCTCAACAGCACGATATGATGCGAAACACTCAAGGTCGGTAGAGTTTCTACAGAGTTAGATCGCGTGGTGTCTCCGAAGTAGAAGATGCCCTAAAATCGAAGGGAAAACCCGAAGGAAAAACTGTCCGCCCAGTGGGTAAAAAAAGAAAATGTAGTGTCGAACTGTAACTGGCCACTTACCCTGCTGATTTTCCTGACCCTCCTGGCGACGGGCCTGGTCCGCTGTTGTTCCTGGAGCTTGGTCGTGGACATGGTCGACGTTCTTGGCACTAATCCGAGGCAAGGCCCATCGAAGGACTGAGGATGGAATCGAAGTACAATTGACGAACGCGATCTCCTTTATCTGCCCCTCGACGGCGTCCCGGAGATAAACGAGCGGCACTCGACTCGAATTCGCGATAATCGGCCGGTCGGCTCTCAGCTCGCGGTGAGGGGAGGCGGAGCGGCGGCGGTCATCTTTCGCTTCTTTTTTCCGACTGAAGAGCGGCTCTGCTAAGACGATGCTGAGACGAGACGAAGCATAGCCGGTGCGGACGCGGTCGGAGACGGAGCTCGGTTTGACTGCGGACGGCTCCGTGCCCGGAGTCAGCTGGACGGGACAACGGGCGCCCTCTGACGCCTGATATTTTTAGACACGCCTCAACGTCGTCACGGCTTTCCCGCCCAATTTAAATCCATTTTCTCAACATTCACCTCTCCTTTCTTTTATCCTATTTTTTTGCTTTTAGGCCTCAATCCCAAAAAAATTAAATTACCAACTTAATGTTTACGCCCAAAAGAACGGAATCTCGCAAAACACACCCTGCTCGCAAAGAAATGATCCCTCCGAAGAATCATTGAAATCACCATAAAATCCGATAATTTTTGTATACATATGGAAACTTAGTTAAATTAAACCAATTCTAAAATCTGGCTGTCCATCTTTAATTACTAATTATCGTTCCATCCACCGACCATTGTTAAACTTTTCGAATCTCTTGTAAATACCATTGCCCCTCTTTGTAATAAATCTATCAAACCCGAACATGGTTTTCAACCTAAGAAATCAACCACCTCAAATCTTCTGTTTGAAAATGTATTATTAAATTATTTTTCCCACTATAAACAATTTGATGTAATTTACACGGACATCGGTAAGGCATTTAATTGAGTCGATTTAATTTGCTTTTATCGAAATGAAATGTTCTGGGCTTCCATGCACCAATATTGTTGTGGTTTCGTAGTTATTTGCATGGTAGACGGCTTCAAGTTAAAATGCCCCAGGGTTCTCATTTAGGTCCCTTATTATTTCTGACCTTTATTAATAATGTTGCTGAATCTCTCCCTCAGACTATAAAATTCTTGCACTTTGCTGACGATTTCAAGCTGTACTATGTAATTAATAATGATAATAACACAAAACTACTTCAAATCGATTTTTTATAATTTTATTGATTGGTGCTCATGTCATTTTTTAGATGTAATAAAAAAGTTAATTCATCATTTTGGGTAACAAATTGCAAGTACATGCTTTGATCACAGTTAAAGATCTCGGTGTAATATTTACTCATCCCCGTCAATTTTGTCAGCATGTAACCAGTATTACTAATATGCTAATAAATTGTTAGGATTTGTGCTTCGCAATATTCAATACTTTAGGAACACATTCACAATAAAAAGGTTATTTTGCACCTCAATAACTAAATTTTTACGATATGCTGCTTTTAAATTAAAAATCCCTTCCGCGGATATTTCTTATGATCATGTGCACTTAACCCTAAACCTGTTACCTTTATACCGTAGAAGGGAAAAAACTGATTCCTCTAATTGCTCCCAAATGATCACCTTAATCACTTTCAATTTCAGCTCTCTCAACCCTCGAAATTCCCTTCCTTTCTCAGTCCAAACTCAAAAATATAATTATTTATTTCTGGCATTTCTAGAATTTTAAATGTTACTAATAAGTATTCTACCATGGATATGTTCAGCACAAAAAATTTGCATGTTTTCTCCAGCTGTACACTTCTAAATAACCTTTTTTATATCTTTTCTTATAAAAAATATACGTTTTTAAAATATGTTTCTATTACATACGTTAATTATACTTGGAAGTACGAAATAATAATTCGCAAATTTACTTCCTTGCTTTAATACAATAATCCCATAAAAACATTTTATTTTATCGAATTATACTCAGTTATATTCGAATATATAATTAATGAATTTTACTTTAAAAAATTTAATTATTGACTGAGATTTTTTTTTACTTTGTATTTTATTACATGCCAATCGTCATTTTATTTGAAAGACAATATAAATTTGAAATTAATTTTTCTTCAATAATTACTCTTTATTCAGTTAAAATTGATAATTAAATATTCATTAATGAAGTAACAGTTAATAATAGTTATTACTTTCTTATCATTCCTTTGTTTCTGTTTGATTTTTTTTTTTTTTTGTTACGCGATAATTGGAAAGTAATAATTAAAAAGCAAACAATCTGACATACAATGTACATAATTTTTCCAATAAATGAAATCATTATTTTTGTGCAGTTTTTCCTTATTCATTTTATTTTGTTAAAGACTGTCATTAACAATTTAAAATCCAAAATAAAATACTGTTTTAAGATAAATATTTTACGAAAAAAAATTGGTTTGTTTCTTAATCGTACTTAAGCCAAAATACTTATAATAGTAGTTTCGCTGTGTTTAGGTGAAGTCAGGTATATATTTTAATATGTGGACTTTTAAATTTATTAATACAACATAATTGCTTTATAAAAAATATTTACTACTTTTATTTTGTTTTTAAATTAGCTACCCGGTGAGAAACACGTTTAAACAAGGAAAGGAATTTGGTGGGAATCCGGTGACATAGCAGGTAAATATTGTCAACAGGTAAAACGGTCGTATTTGTTCTTTGGTAAACTCAAAGTCACATGTTAGTAGACAAAGCCTACTATCCAAATTCCCCAGACGTTTCGCACAGAAATTGCCACGACACGTCAACAACACTGGGAAGCTAAGAGGTGTCCCGTGACGTACTCAAAGGAAACAAAACTGACCCACTCGACAACTTTGAAATGTACAAATGCTAACATTAGAAAATTAATTTATTGGCAAAAAGTGCAGGATCAAACAAGCAAAAAATGTCAGAACTAATTTCCCTCTCATTTTACTTTTAACCTAAAAAGATAAAAAACTATTGTACAGATTAAAATGAAAAACCGAGCTTAACCACACAAACGAGAAAATGCCGAGCGGAGGATCGACAAAATCGACTCAGAGCCTACCCAACATGGTTTTATTAGCATCTTATCAGTTAAAATGAAATATCTCGTTAAACGAACTTCCACGCGAGTGAAATATACGACACCCTTAAATATAAGGACTTAAATATAAAAAGAGAGCAAAAATTAATTTTTTTACCGAATCCATACTTAATACTTTTTGACATCATGAAACATTTTTCCATACAATTTGGGCGAACGTTTTCCTATTCGTTGCACAAATGTAAACTATACAACACAAATGTTTTTGTCGAACTAATAAGTGACGATTTCTTGGAATGATTACAAAGTTAGCATCAAACATAAATCGCACTGTGTCGAATGAGCGCAAAGATGTAGCTTTGGGAAACCTTTACTCCAGGATAGACATTTTTCGATAACGAAGTCCGATTCGACTATTACCAAAAGGCACAGTTAAACAAAATAAAGTTAACTTCCTGTAAGACGAAAGTATAACCGAGATTCTATTCCGACAGCTTGTCACTGGTCATGATGGTGATGTATCAGCTACTAAAATCTTACCCTCGACAACTAAGTTTCCTACGATATAGATAGAAAAATCTAGGTTTTATAACATATAGTTTCATAATAAAAATAATTTCTTGCGAGTACTTTTTTCTCCTTGGAGTTTTCGAGGTGATAAAGCTGAAGTCAAGCTTTCGCCATCTTCAGTGGCGTGTTTGAATTAACCAGAAAGGTTAAGCGAACCAAGATTATCAAAATCGACCAAACGATTGTTGTAAATATTGATTTTTAAAAGCTTTGTACGTTTTACTTAATTATTTAATAAATAAGTATTCGAAAGAAAAGGTTCTCAAATTTTTCTAACAGTGTTAAATTTATTGATGTATGGTTTTTGAGATGACGTAAACACAATGTTTATTTTGCACGTTTTAACCTCAACTTTACGTTTTAACTTTTGTATATCTTCTACGTTAATTTTTCATTAGTTGCTACTTTTATTATTTACCCTTTTCATTATTCATTTACACACTGTAGTTTGCTTGTTTGTGCCTTGCTGGTTTATGCTTTCAAATTCTATTTAAAAAATTTAAAATATTTCCCAGGTGGAATTTCTGGATAAACATTAGACGTACTAGCCAAAAAGAAACTTCAGAATCATACACAAATCAATTTTGTGGTATAAACTATAATCATTTCCAAAAAGAACTGGAGTCTTGGATAACTAAAGTACACGGTGAATACTGGGATTGATATGCCAGACATGAGGCAAGATTTAAGGGACGTGCTCCAGTAAAATATCTCTTCAAAAATGAGACTATCAACAGAAAACCAATGTCACTAAGTATGCAATGGTCGGAAACAACCCAACTGCCCTACAATACTTGAAAAGTCATTCTTGTGCAATGTACAATATACCATACCCGCGAGAAGAATTCTTCATTTTAAGAAACGAAAATCTTTCAGACAAACCATTAGCAAAGATGTAACATAATTGACAAAAATTCAAGTGTAAAATAGGAAAATTACGATTTCAAATTGGAAAAAAACTCACAATTTAAATATAAAATCGAACCCAACACTGAAGATGGCGATATGCCGAAACATACCAGAGACTTGGAGGACCTGGATGACATCGAAACACCGGGTTCATTTTTTTTTAGTTTAAAAATTTTAAAATGTATTTTTAGCCAATTGACGCTCTTGGAAAAAAATCTTTTGATATACAGCTTTAATATAGATTATCAGCAATCTTGAATATAAAACATCAATGTCTGACATAAAGCTAATATTATTATACATAAATAAATATTCTTTTCTTACTTGTTGAAAATTGTATAAGTAATGAAAAAAAAAACTTCCATATTCAGTGAATAAAAATTAAATTTGAAAGTGGCACCGAGACTATTTTCTTACGCGATATCTATTGTCTTTGCTCTGTGCTTCTCATAAATATTCGGATTTGTAGCGTTGTATGCGGGAAAAACCACTGTGTAATACATTAAAGCAAATTAAAACTTCCTTGCGTAACAAACCGATTTGTTGTTTAGAAGTAAGTAACAAGATTATCTATTCTTATCTTCCAAACCGAGATCAGTGTCAGATCCGTTTTATAATCCTTTATTGATTCGATTGCATATCAATTTTTGCGACTCTTCAGTTTACTTATCAACGGGATATTTTTTATGATTTAAAAAGGTAGTTCTTTCATATTCGGGGCATGTTTGATTTTGCCACGCATCTCGGGCGTTTTACTGCTTTAACACGTTTTTATCTCGTGACAGATGATACACGTCTGCTTGTGACAACTCGACAACGCATGGTTTATATATTAATCTTTCTTTCTCCATTTTTCC